CTCAGGGACAGACACAGAATTGTTACTGAGGGACACAGAATTGTTACTGAGGGACACAGAATTGTTACTCAGGGACACAGAATTGTTACTCAGGGACACAGAATTGTTACTCAGGGACACAGAATTGTTACTGAGGGACACAGAATTGTTACTCAGGGACACAGAATTGTTACTCAGGGACACAGAATTGTTACTCAGGGACACAGAATTGTTACTCAGGGACAGACACAGAATTGTTACTCAGGGACACAGAATTGTTACTCAGGGACACAGAATTGTTACTGAGGGGGACACAGAATTGTTACTCAGGGGACACAGAATTGTTACTGAGGGACACAGAATTGTTACTGAGGGACACAGAATTGTTACTCAGGGACACAGAATTGTTACTCAGGGACACAGAATTGTTACTCAGGGACACAGAATTGTTACTCAGGGACACAGACACAGAATTGTTACTCAGGGACACAGAATTGTTACTCAGGGACACAGAATTGTTACTGAGGGACACAGAATTGTTACTCAGGGACACAGAATTGTTACTCAGGGGACACAGAATTGTTACTCAGGGACACAGAATTGTTACTCAGGGGACACAGAATTGTTTACTCAGGGACACAGAATTGTTACTGAGGGACAGACACAGAATTGTTACTCAGGGACACAGAATTGTTACTCAGGGACACAGAATTGTTACTCAGGGACACAGAATTGTTACTGAGGGACACAGAATTGTTACTGAGGGACACAGAATTGTTACTCAGGGACACAGAATGTTACTCAGGGACACAGAATTGTTACTCAGGGACACAGAATTGTTACTCAGGGACACAGAATTGTTACTCAGGGACACAGAATTGTTACTGAGGGACACAGAATTGTTACTCAGGGACACACAGAATTGTTACTCAGGGACACAGAATTGTTACTCAGGGACACAGAATTGTTACTCAGGGACACAGAATTGTTACTCAGGGACACAGAATTGTTACTGAGGGACACAGAATTGTTACTGAGGGACACAGAATCGTTACTCAGGGACACAGAATTGTTACTCAGGGGACACAGAATTGTTACTCAGGGACACAGATTGTTACTCAGGGGGACACAGAATTGTTACTCAGGGACACAGAATTGTTACTCAGGGACACAGAATTGTTACTCAGGGACAGACACAGAATTGTTACTGAGGGACACAGAATTGTTACTCAGGGACACAGAATTGTTACTCAGGTTGTTACTCAGGGACACAGAATTGTTACTCAGGGGACACAGAATTGTTACTCAGGGACACAGAATTGTTACTCAGGGACACAGAATTGTTACTCAGGGACACAGAATTGTTACAGGGAGGGACACAGAATTGTTACTCAGGGACACAGAATTGTTACTCAGGGACACAGAATTGTTACTCAGGGACACAGAATTGTTACTGAGGGACACAGAATTGTTACTCAGGGACACAGAATTGTTACTCAGGGACACAGAATCGTTACTCAGGGACACAGAATCGTTGAATTAAAGAGTATGTCAGACAACACGCAGAGGAGTGGCAGAGGAGGCAATGTTTCAGGAGCGAGCAGACGTGGCAGCAGAGGAAGGGGTCGAGGCAGCACTAGTCGCAGCCAGAGGCCAGTGCTCCCGGTGTCATCCAGCGGTCGTGTCTCCACCGACAACCCTGCCGTCATCGATTGGTTGGCTCGGTCGTCTTCCTCTTCCCAGGTCACCTCTGACACCTACAGCCAACGGTCGGTGGGTACGTCAGACACAACCGTTAGTTGGCATGGCCCGGGAGCAAGCCCACTGAAATCACGTGTCCTCTACCTGCCCCTGTCCTTTGGTGTTCCCTCACCAAGCGAAGTATCGCATGCTGTGGGCTCAGCCCCACTGTACAGTGAGGAAGAGCTAACAGAGGGCGGTCAGGAACGGGGGGAGACATCCGCCTCTTCAGCAGCCAGGCGAAGAAGTACTGGCGAGGAGAGTGGCTCGGTAGCCGGTCTAGAGACAGGTCTGTCTCCTGACCCACACGCAGCCGAGGGGGCTAGTAGTGAGGCGGAGACCCTAATTGATGATGATGAGGCTGATCGCACTTGGCAGCCTCGTCGTCATCAGGCTATTGCTTCCGCCGCATCATCAGGAGAAGAGGGTGCCAGCTTGGCAGCGAGCAAAACAGTCGGTGGGTTGCCCAGGAGGCAGCAGGGTCGCAGCAGTGTCAGTGGAGGCAAACGGCCACGGAGTAGAGCACCAGCTCCACTGCAGCCTACCACCACGGCCAGTAGTGGTGCCGGTGTGCACGGAGGAAGTAGCAGTCAGCCAGTGAGGAGTAGCGGGGGCAAAGTTTCCTACTCGGCGGTGTGGCAATTTTTCGTCAAGCCGCCCGAGGAAGTAAACGTAGCCGTATGTCGACTATGTGGCCAGAAAGTCAAGCGTGGCCAGGGGGCCCATGTTGGGACTACAGCGTTGCGTCAGCATATGCAGCGTCGCCATTCGGTGGCCTGGGAAAACCGTGATAAAGATACGGCGGTTCTGCCTGCCCCAGCCCCCGCTCCATCACCCGCTCCGTTACTTGCTCCGTCACCCGACGTCAATCGCCCTCTATCAGCCAGTCAAGGCTCCAACACCTCTGCTGAGGGGAGTTGTCGCTCGTTGGCATCTTCCGCTCGTTCAGATGCTCCTTCTCCTGCTACTCCTCTTCACGGATTCCGTCAGCAGTCTTTCTTGGAATCCGTTTCCAAGAGACAACAGTTTGCGAGCACGCACCCGACGGTGCAAAAGCTGAACGTCCCTCCTGTCCAAGTTGCTGGTGCTGCTGCAGTCCCTCCCTTTCCAAGTGGTGGACTCAGCACCTTTCCGAGAAATGATGGCTTGTGCCGCGCCGCGGTGGAGAGTGCCAAGCCGGCATTTCTTCGCCAAAAAGGCAGTGCCAGCCCTGCATTCACATGTAGAAGAGATGGTGGGCCAGTCTTTGAGCATGTCGGTCTCTCTGCCAAAGTGCACGGCAGCGCCGACGTGTGGAGCTGTAACTACGGTCAGGGACAGTACATGTCATTTACGGCCCACTGGGTGAACGTGGTGCCGGCACAGCCGCACCAGCAACTTGGACACAGGTCACGCCGCTTTTGCCTCCACGTTTGCACGTCCTTGGTCCAGCAAAGATGTCCGCCTCTACCACCTCTTCTTCCGCCGTGTCCTCAGCCGCCCCCCCGTGCCAAGTCCCATTACCCGACCGGCATATCACATGTGCAGGGCGCAACGGTGTCACGCTGTGCTGCACCTGGTATGCCTTGGCGAACGTAGTCACACAGGGGAGGAACTTCTGAGTGTAATGAACAGAGAAATCGACAGATGGCTGTCTCCGCGCAAACTGAAAATCGGAACCATGTTGACCGACAACGGAAAGAACATGGTGTCTGCTCTGCGTCAAGGAAGGTTGTGCCATGCGCCATGCATGGCTCACGTGTTCAATCTGGTTGTCAAGCGGTTCCTAAAATCCACCATCCCACTGCAAGACATCCTTAAAATGTCACGTAAACTTTGCATGCATTTCAGCCATTCCTACACCGCAAAGCACACCCTCCTTGAGCTGCAGCGGCAGAACGAATTCCACAGCATCGCCTGATCTGCGACGTTGCAACAAGGTGGAATTCAACCCTACATATGTTAGACCGCCTTTACGAACAGCGAAAGGCCATCACCGATTTCCTGATGTTACAAGCGGATAAAGGTACTCCCCTGTGTAACTTAGATGTCAGCCATTGGCAGCTCATGCGTGACACCTGCCGCTTGCTCAGGCCCTTTGAGGAGGCCACGCTATTCGTGAGTCGGCAGGACTATGGGATGAACGACGTCATTCCTCTGTTGCACGTCCTGGAACAAATGCTGTTAACAATGGCTGGTCAGGGTGCGGTAGACGTGGCGCACAGATCTCAACGCCACATGACCCCTGTGGGGGCAGGACAGGAAGAAGAGGAGGAGGTAGAGGAGGACATTGGTGCTCAGGAATTATTGAGTGAAATGGGTGGTTTTTTTCCACTCAGCGGACAGGAGTGGAGGAGCAGGAGCATCTGGTAGAGAGGAGGAGGAGGAGACAGAGGACCCAGACGCACCGTGGCAGTATGCTGTGGAGATGGAGGCAGGGAGTCCCTCGCATTCCTTGGCACAAATGGCCCATAGCATGCTCGGTTGCTTGCGTAGCGACAGCCGAATAATAACCATCAGACAGAGGGATGACTTTTGGCTGTCCACCTTGTTGGACCCTCGCTACCGTTCAAAAATGGTGGCCTTTTTCACACCTGCTGAGAGGGAGGCCAAAATAACGTACTATAAAAACCACCTATGTAGTCAGTTGGTCTCTGCCTTTCTGCGCCAACGTCCATCCTCAGACACTGTGGGCCCTGCGCTCTCGCGTTCCGCTGCCATGGCAGCAGGGGAGGGGTGGGGGTGGTAGGAGCAGTGGCAGCTCCACCAGCAGCGGCTGCCTCAGTCTGCAGTCGATGATGAGTAGCTTTCTTCACCAGCGCAGTGAGGAAACTACTAACCAGCCGCACAGCAGCAGCAGCATCAGGTGGACCTGGAGCAGGACCTCAAACAACAGGCTTGGGCCTACTTGGACAGCACCCTGCCAACCGAGGTAGACAATCCCCTTGACTACTGGGCAACGAAACTTGACCTTTGGCCCCAACTAGCTGAATTTGCCCTTGAAAGGCTGTCATGCCCGGCCAGTAGCGTGGCATCGGAGCGCGTGTTTAGTGCGGCAGGAGGTATTGTAACTCCGCGGAGGACACGACTGTCCACCCAAAGTGTGGAGAGACTCACGTTTGTGAAAATGAATCAGGCGTGGATTAGTCTGGATTTCAAACCACCAGTTCCTGACACAACTGACTAAATCCGCCATGAATCATGCCCCAAACATGTTATTATTTTTAACATAGGCCTCTGTATGGCCTTCATTTAAGCTGCTTACGCTTCGCCACTCTGCCATGGGCCCCTGTACCGCCTCCTCTTGCTGCTGCCAGGTCCAGAGTGTGTCATGGGTCCCTGTACGGCCTCCCATTGCTGCTGTCTCCATCGCCACACTCTGCCATGTGCCACTTTCAGGTCTCCTCACACTGCTGGTGGGTTCCATTTTGTCATAGGGTGCTGGCAGATTACGGGCCTCCCATTGCTGCTGCCAGGCCCGTAATCTGCCATGGGCCCCCGTACCGCCTCCTCATGCTGCTGCCAGGTCCAGAGTCTCTCATGGGTCCCTGTACGGCCTGCCCCATTGCTGCTGTCCCTCCATCGCCATTGCTGCTGTCTCCATGCCACACTGTGCCACTTTCACTTTCAGGTCTCCTCACACTGCTGGTGGGTTCCATTTTGTCATAGGGTGCTGGCAGATTACGGGCCTCCCATTGCTGCTGCCAGGCCCGTAATCTGCCATGGGCCCCCGTACCGACTCCTCCTCATGCTGCTGCCAGGCCCGTAATCTGTCATGGGCCCCTGTACCGCCTCCTCATGCTGCTGCCAGGTCCAGAGTGTCTCATGGGTCCCTGTACGGCCTCCCATTGCTAGCTGTCTCCATCGCCACACTCTGCCATGTGCCACTTTCAGGTCTCCTCACACTGCTGGTGGGTTCCATTTTGTCATAGGGTGCTGGCAGATTACGGGCCTCCCATTGCTGCTGCCAGGCCCGTAATCTGCCATGGGCCCCCGTACCGCCCTCATGCTGCTGCCAGGCCCGTAATCTGCCATGGGCCCCTGTACCGCCTCCTCATGCTGCTGCCAGGTCCAGAGTGTCTCATGGGTCCCTGTACGGCCTCCCATTGCTGCTGTCTCCATCGCCACACTCTGCCATGTGCCACTTTCAGGTCTCCTCACACTGCTGGTGGGTTCCATTTTGTCATAGGGTGCTGGCAGATTACGGGCCTCCCATTGCTGCTGCTGCTGCCAGGCCCGTAATCTGCCATGGGCCCCCGTACCGCCTCCTCATGCTGCTGCCAGGCCCGTAATCTGTCATGGGCCCCCTGTACCGCCTCCCATCTGCTGCTGCTGCCAGGTCCAGAGTGTCTCATGGGTCCCTCCCACGGCCTCCCTGTCATGCTGCTGTCTCCATCGCCACAGGCTCTGCCATCTGCCATGTGCCACTTTCAGGTCTCCTCACACTGCTGGTGGGTTCCATTTTGTCATAGGGTGCTGGCAGATTACGGGCCTCCCATTGCTTCTGCCAGGCCCGTAATCTGCCATGGGCCCCCGTACCGACTCCTCATGCTGCTGCTGCCAGGCCCGTAATCTGTCATGGGCCCCTGTACCGCCTCCTCATGCTGCTGCCAGGTCCAGAGTGTCTCATGGGTCCCTGTACGGCCTCCCATTGCTGCTGTCTCCATCGCCACACTCTGCCATGTGCCACTTTCAGGTCTCCTCACACTGCTGGTGGGTTCCATTTTGTCATAGGGTGCTGGCAGATTACGGGCCTCCCATTGCTGCTGCCAGGCCCGTAATCTGCCATGGGCCCCCGTACCGACTCCTCATGCTGCTGCCAGGCCCGTAATCTGTCATGGGCCCCTGTACCGCCTCCTCATGCTGCTGCCAGGTCCAGAGTGTCTCATGGGTCCCTGTACGGCCTCCCATTGCTGCTGCTGTCTCCATCGCCACACTCTGCCATGTGCCACTTTCAGGTCTCCTCACACTGCTGGTGGGTTCCATTTTGTCATAGGGTGCTGGCAGATTACGGGCCTCCCATTGCTGCTGCCAGGCCCGTAATCTGCCATGGGCCCCCGTACCGACTCCTCATGCTGCTGCCAGGCCCGTAATCTGTCATGGGCCCCTGTACCGCCTCCTCATGCTGCTGCCAGGTCCAGAGTGTGTCTCATGGGTCCCTGTACGGCCTCCCATTGCTGCTGTCTCCATCGCCACACTCTGCCATGTGCCACTTTCAGGTCTCCTCACACTGCTGGTGGGTTCCATTTTGTCATAGGGTGCTGGCAGATTACGGGCCTCCCATTGCTGCTGCCAGGCCCGTAATCTGCCATGGGCCCCCGTACCGACTCCTCATGCTGCTGCCAGGCCCGTAATCTGTCATGGGCCCCTGTACCGCCTCCTCCATGCTGCTGCCAGGTCCAGAGTGTGTCATGGGTCCCTGTACGGCCTCCCATTGCTGCTGTCTCCATCGCGCCACACTCTGCCATGTGCCACTTTCAGGTCTCCTCACACTGCTGGTGGGTTCATTTTTGTCATAGGGTGCTGGCAGATTACGGGCCTCCCATTGCTGCTGCCAGGCCCGTAATCTGCCATGGGCCCCCGTACCGACTCCTCATGCTGCTGCCAGGCCCGTAATCTGTCATGGGCCCCTGTACCGCCTCCCTGCTGCTGTCTCCATGCTGCTGCCATGTCCAGAGTGTCCTCACTGCTGGGTTCCTGTACGCAGCCCTCCCATTGCTGCTGCCAGGCCCGTAATCTGCCATGGGCCCCTGTACCGACTCCTCATGCTGCTGCCCAGGCCCGTAATCTGTCATGGGCCCCTGTACCGCCTCCTCATGCTGCTGCTGCCAGGGTCCCAGAGTGTGTCATGGGGTCCCTGTACGGCCTCCATTGCTGCTGCCAGGCCCGTAATCTGCCATGGGCCCCCGTACCGGCCTCCTCATGCTGCTGCCAGGCCCGTAATCTGTCATGGGCCCCTGTACCGCCTCCTCATGCTGCTGCCAGGTCCAGAGTGTCTCATGGGTCCCTGTACGGCCTCCCATTGCTGCTGTCTCCATCGCCACACTCTGCCATGTGCCACTTTCAGGTCTCCTCACACTGCTGGTGGGTTCCATTTTGTCATAGGGTGCTGGCAGATTACGGGCCTCCCATTGCTGCTGCTGCCAGGCCCGTAATCTGCCATGGGCCCCCGTACCGACTCCTCATGCTGCTGCCAGGCCCGTAATCTGTCATGGGCCCCTGTACCGCCTCCTCATGCTGCTGCCAGGTCCAGAGTGTGTCATGGGTCCCTGTACGGCCTCCCATTGCTGCTGTCTCCATCGCCACACTCTGCCATGTGCCACTTTCAGGTCTCCTCACACTGCTGGTGGGTTCCATTTTTTTGTCATAGGGTGCTGGCAGATTACGGGCCTCCCATTGCTGCTGCCAGGCCCGTAATCTGCCATGGGCCCCCCGTACCGCCTCCTCATGCTGCTGCCAGGTCCAGAGTGTCTCATGGGTCCCTGTACGGCCTCCCATTGCTGCTGTCTCCATCGCCACACTCTGCCATGTGCCACTTTCAGGTCTCCTCACACTGCTGGTGGGTTCCATTTTTGTCATAGGGTGCTGGCAGATTACGGGCCTCCCATTGCTGCTGCCAGGCCCGTAATCTGCCATGGGCCCCCGTACCGCCTCCTCATGCTGCTGCCAGGTCCAGAGTGTCTCATGGGTCCCTGTACGGCCTCCCATTGCTGCTGTCTCCATCGCCACACTCTGCCATGTGCCACTTTCAGGTCTCCTCACACTGCTGGTGGGTTCCATTTTGTCATAGGGTGCTGGCAGATTACGGGCCTCCCATTGCTGCTGCCAGGCCCGTAATCTGCCATGGGCCCCTGTACCGACCCTCCTCATGCTGCTGCCAGGCCCGTAATCTGTCATGGGCCCCTTGTACCGCCTCCTCATGCTGCTGCCAGGTATAGAGTGTCTCATGGGTCCCTGTACGGCCTCCCATTGCTGCTGTCTCCATCGCCACACTCTGCCATGTGCCACTTTCAGGTCTCCTCACACTGCTGGTGGGTTCCATTTTGTCATAGGGTGCTGGCAGATTACGGGCCTCCCATTGCTGCTGCCAGGCCCATAATCTGCCATGGGCCCCCGTACCGACTCCTCATGCTGCTGCCAGGCCCGTAATCTGTCATGGGCCTCCCCCTGTACCGCCTCCTCATGCTGCTGCCAGGTCCAGAGTGTGTCATGGGTCCCTGTACGGCCTCCCATTGCTGCTGCCAGGCCCGTAATCTGCCATGGGCCCCTGTACCGACTCCTCATGCTGCTGCCAGGCCCGTAATCTGTCATGGGCCCCTGTACCACCTCCTCATGCTGCTGCCAGGTCCAGAGTGTGTCTCATGGGTCCCTGTACGGCCTCCCCATTGCTGCTGTCTCCATCGCCACACTCTGCCATGTGCCACTTTCAGGTCTCCTCACACTGCTGGTGGGTTCCATTTTTGTCATAGGGTGCTGTATGGCCTCCCATTGCTGCTGCCTCCACCGCCACACTGTGGCTCCACACTCTGGTTTTGGCCCCGTGACTGCCCAAATGAGTGAAGTGTGCGGTGATTCTAAGATCGACGGCACTCATCTGCATGTCATACTGACTGACAGTATTATTTCTCTTCCCCAGCAGACTCCAAGGGCATTTAAATTAAAGGTACAGTGTTCTGCACTAATATAAAGGCTCTCTGAAGCCTAGAAACACCCTTTTTATAAGTTAAAATTCCGCGAATTCGCCGAATCAGCCGAATCGAATTTTTGAATACTTCGCTCATCTCTAATAATCATATAGAAATACCTGCAATATCTAAACACTGTGCAAAAAACCATTAAAGAATAAATCTGGGCTGTATTTTTCTGTGTATTATACTTGTTAAACTTAATAGAAAGGATTGAAAAAAAAAAAAAAAGAAATCTGGGCAAAATTATTATTTTCCCATGTAGCGGGGCTGTGCCCACACTGCATGGGATAAATGCTCGTTTTTGTCTATAGGCTCAGAAAGAAAAATATATACTTACCTAATCCACCAATCTTCAGAGCGCAAGACCGGTCCCCCGCTGCTCCTACCCCACACCCCCCCCCACATGCTAGTAGGCTTGCAAATGGGCTGTTCCTGATGTCATCTTGCCCATAGACCGGTTCCGGACCTGAAGATGGCAGGAACAGTCCACCGATGGATGTGAGGAAGCGCGGTTTTCTGGAGGATCGCAGGAAAGGGTAAATACAGCTTTTCCCTCAGCCCCTGGACAAAACAAGCACTTAACCCAGCACAGCCCCACTGCATGGGAAAATAGTATCATTTACATTTAGCCTGTAAAGTGACTGGCCTCAGATGACACAGAGATGAAACAAATTCTACATAAGTTGTACCTGTTTATCTATAGCTGTCTTTCCCCTACATCCTCTCAAAGTGCAGAATTTACACAGAATCTCTCAGCTCTGAAAAGCTGGGGGCGGGGAGCTGAAGTTACATCAGTGAGGAGAGCACTGAAAGCTGATTGGAGGGAAGAGACACACACCCCTCCTCTACACAGCACACAGGAACAGAGCTGAGGCTGTCAATCTCCTGTCCACCCTTTTTCTCTTGGTGTCAGGAAAACGTGTCAAAAGTGACTCATATTTATAGCAGAGGAACAAAGCAACAGACAGAAATGACACTTAGTGCTCTTAACTGAGACAAGTACAGACTGTACAGGGATATTCTTTGTTCATATTTCATGCCTGAAATTTACAACCACTTTACAGTCCAAAATTGGTAAAATTATAAGTGTGCAAAGAAAAGAATGAGGAAAGGATGACCACACCCACCAATGAAAGTCCTGTGATTTCTCTTATTTTTTACAGGTACTTATATAGCGCTTTCAATTTACACAGCACTTTATATATATATATATATTGTACATTCACATCAGTCCCTAGCCTTCAAGGGGCATCCAATCTAAGATCCCTAGGAAAGAAATGTCAAGCGAGCGCTACCTAAAAAAAGAGGGCAGCCGCTAAAACACCAAAAAGGCAACCAAAGAAACCTTCCAAGATAAATGTCAATAAATAGGTGCAGCGCTAAGTCATAATATGCAACATAATACGTGGCAAATAAAATAATCAGTAACAAATTAAAAGGTAAACACAATATACATAATATGTATAATAAAGTCCTTAATATACATCAGGTGCAAAA